CTGGAAAGTCTTGCTTGACTACTGTATTTCAATTGTAATTGTTGTTCACAGTTCGCTTATCATCATGTTATATTACTCAAATAGACAATTCCCATTATGGACTAATTTTAAAATTAGACAAAAAAACTCAAATAAATCGCCACATGCAGCTAGAAAGAGCATACTAAAATTAGTACAATTACAAAGTTTGGTTGCGAAATGTTGTAAAATGAGGAAAATATAATTATTTTGTATACTTTTGTATTGCTTGCGGAAATTCCTACCACATTCCTACCACATTTAGGCCGAAAATGGTCGCACGCAATACAAAAGGCTATATTTTCCACATTTTACAACATTTCGCAACCAAATTTTGTAATTTTACAAATTTTAATATGCTCTTTCTAGCTGTGGTGATTTATTTGCATCTCCTTGCCTAGTTTAAAATTAGTCTATAATGGGAATTGTCTATTACTGTATCTCATTCATTGCCTTTAATTTTTTGCTTTATCATGAAAAATAACACACACCCCCCCTCCCCCCGGCGCACCCCCATCTTGCTCTGCACAGGAAAACACACACAGGCAAACAGACGCACATACACTGTACAAACGCGGAAGTGAAAATCCAAACTATTGAAATAACATACAGCAGTATTTTCTTTTTCTTTTGGTCGCTGCCAACGATCTTGCTTAAGCTGTACAGAAATAAACAAAAAAAATATTCAATTATAATCGACCTTCCCACAAAGGGTCGACACCCTTACACTTGGCGCCGCGAGACCTCCGCGTTTGCAGCAAGTCATGTCCCGCGCTTTATGAGTAATGGGAGATCTTACATGTGGTGATATAATAGATGTTTGGCCATTAGAACCAAGGATGTCAAGGTGTCTGCAAGGAGATTGCTGGGTTTGACTGTATCACCAAAAAAAATTACGACTATTATAGAGCGATGGGAAAACGATAGGAACGATATATGAAATATGAATTACGGTCATCGTACCACATATATATAAAGCATATATAAAGTCTAAAGCTTAGGGGCGACATCCATACTCAAACTGCCACGCAAAACGTCATTTTGACGTTTTGAGTGGGTGGGTGGGTTTTCGGGAGTCAATTTTACGTTTTGCGTGGCAGTTTGAATTTTTTTAAATCAGAAAATATTGAACACATGTGCAGAGATGATTTTGGATGTATATGTAGAAGTTAACTTGAAGTATTTGTGCATTTCACTGTACCAAAGGCTTTAAAACACGTTGTCAGTTTTCGCGAAAATACGAAAAATATTTAATAATTTATATCATTATTTAAAACTATAGGCATTGATTTGAAGCATTATTACTCAATGGTAACACCTTTGAGGTCTCCCTTTATTTTTAATAACAATATACACTTGACGTTTTCAGCACTGGGTGGGTGGGTCAAAACGAAAACGTCAAAATGA